GCATTTTATTTTATTTTATTATTATGAACCATGCTAGTTGTAAAGAGATTGTAGATAAGCTACGAAATGATATCATCTCGAGGAATTTGTCCTCCAAATGCCATATTCAAACTTATAATTGATTTTGTTTTTGGGATGTACACAGCTGAAGAGAATCCATGAAACAAAACGAGCTCATATTCTCATGAGAATAGATTCGTTGCTCCTCAAACAAGTACTTAGTGTTAAAAGGGTAACTCTTTATATGGTAATTAGACATGCGGAGAGCGTTAAGATTTTCATTGGAAACATGGATGGACTATAGAAAACATACAGTATAGAACATTTGATGATAGAGAGTTCGGGCAGGTGGGGGTAAATAGTGAAGTGAAATTATAAGATAGACAGAACACTTAAGCAGATTTCGAAACAAAGTAATGAATTCAACTCAGTGAGTGAAAATCAAAATTAAGTGGTTTCCAGGTCTATGTATTAAATTCTCATCATTCTCCATGAAATAATTATTGTCACTATTCATGTTACTATTTCCAAACACTCAAAGTTTTCCCATATTTGAATGTACTGTGTCGAAGGGAATCATACACCCTCCACTTAACTCGGTTCAAACTTTTCTACAAATATTTTTAGGCATGCATATCAAATTAAGATTTCGTTATGGCGGAGTGTTACCACTGTTGTGAGTTCCTCTAAACTGAGTGGAATGCACTTGCAGAACACGAAACTATCACCAACTAATTACGTGGAAGTTTGTCCACCAAACTGAGATAGACACAAAGGTCTCACTAGGAAAAACGACTACTAGGATGACAAAAATCTGTAGAAAGAACCTTTATCAGACGGAGTAAATGGTTTATTATAGTTTAAGAAACCTCAGAAAATTAAGCCATAAATAAACGAATCAGAACTGTCCAATAAGGTTATAGTTTCAGTGCATGCATAAATCAGGACTTCATGGCTAACAAAGAAGCTTATCCGTTCTAACACATTCGAACTGATGTTATTTATTCCAGTTGAATTTTCAACAATATTAATAACTGTAGCTTTTCGAATTTCACGCTTTATGTATTTTGATTCGCAGGTGTTGTTGTACATCTTGTGGTCCTACAAGTCTCCATAAGCTTTCATCTGCTTCTTACACAGTCTCCTGCACATCACGCTTGCATGCTCAGCTTGTCGTTTCCTATTCAGGTTCTTCTCGTAGGACTGTCTGGAACGCTATATTACTTGGTGGTATCCTCACCAGTGAACGTCCAATCTCTCTGTATTTCCATGAAAAATTTTATTATGGCGTAAATTTTCTAGATGCGATTCTGGAGACACAAAGATCCGATTGTTGGAAATTATTGTGGACATGGGTCAAAATGATTTTCGGTGGTATAGATGAATTGGTTCATTTTTGTAGTCCCCAAGATTCATTAAATTCACATTGTACTACATGTGAATATTTTATCTCCACCATATACATTATCTCTCTTTTATAGTTTCTTTGCATTTCGTTTGTTTTCTCTATCTCTATGTGTGTTGCCTTTATGAGGTATGACAAACTAAAGTACTTCACTTTATAACATAGTTCTACGTTGAAAATTAAGTTTAGTTCAGGTATGGAGAATTTCTGCATTATATTTAAGCGTAATATTATACAGGTATATTTATCCATGCCAAGTAAAAGACTAAGTTGCGTCATCCTGGGTAGGATAAAAGATACACCAGATATAGAACTCCGCCAACCGGAATAAGCTGGATTCAGAAAAGGTAAGTCGTGTGCATCGTCATCGTCATCGTCGAACAAAGCATAGAATGGTATTCAAACCTCTTTCTACCTTAACTTCCTTCATCGAATTCGAAAAGGCCTTCGACAGACAGCGCTGACCGAGAAGTAATTTAGAAACTCCTTCGACAGAACCGATTGCACAAAGTCTTTATGAATTTCATTCAACAGCTGGCTGAATGACAATGCCATGTGTCAGATGATGCACAACGGGAAATTCAGCGAGGCATTCGAAGTGAATGCGGGAGTAAGACAAGGCTGCCCACTACTATCACCCATGATAATCTTAATTGTGGTCGACTGGACTATGCGCCAGACTGTGGGAAGCGAGGAGATAGGAATACACTGGACCACCGATAAGAAGACTCTAGAAGATTTCGATTTCGCAGATAATGTATGTCTAATGTTACGCAGACTCGAAAACTTGCAGGCGAAAACCAACAAACTGGCTGAAGGCACCGTCAAGGAGAGAAGAGAGAACTGAAGGTGAATATAAGGATGATGAAGATAACCAACGAATCGCAACAATAACAATAACCACCACCAATCACCATCAACGGGAGAGATTTGACAGGGATTACTTCCTTCACTTATCCAGCCAGACAGTATCGTTTCGACTACAAGCAACAGCATGGATGAGGATGTCAAAACCGAAGTTGGAAAGGCAAGACAGACCTTCTATAATCTGAAATCAGTGTGGAAATCTTCTGCATACAGTTAGTATGAAGAACAAGATTCTAATTTTCAACACTGATATCAAGTCAATCACTTCTTCTACATTGGTTTTAAGCTTTGCACGTCATGAAAATCGTTTCCAATAGGCCACTTTAAGCTTTCATCAACAGCTGCATACTTCGATGACCCTATTCTGAAGATTAAATAGCCGGTCGGAAAGAACTGACGACAGGAAACCAACCCAGAACATATTGCTCAAAACATATGTTGAAGAAAATTGTGATTGATCGGACACATGGCACTGAGGAAGCCATTGAATGACATCACACGTCAGGCCAACCATCAAGTGGAATTAGGATGAGGAACGATGAGTTGGGTGTTGGTCAGAGGGTGCTATGGAGGAGACTGTATGGGGATAAGATGGGAGAATATGGGCAATCGTGGGCCCAGCTAAAGAAGACAGCATAGGACAGAAAGAAGTGAAGATGTGTTGTTGAAGCCCTGTTCCACTCGGAACAATATATATATATATATATATATATGTATAGCAGTCTTTCAGCAATCTACCTAAAATAAACTAAATTATCAGTGTATAACTTAGCACAAAACTGTACCAGTTCAAGAGGATAAACTTAAAAATACAAAAGGCCACAGAAGAGAAAGCCAAAGAAACTACAATAACAGAAAGTGTACAAGGAGAAAAAATAAATATATCCAAGCATTGGTTTGCACGGATCTGACTGATTTTATATCACAGGAAATATAAAAGGTCGGTTGCAGCGAAGATAATCCTCTCGATGGAAAATGGTTTCTCATCTAGATTCATAGACAAGCATTTAAAATGAAAGAAAGCTTCCAAACATGTCCAAGTCGCCTCCAAAAAGATGTTAGTGCTTAATTTTGAATTTATAAGCGATAGTGAGGCAGAAAGTCCCTGTAAATGGTATTCGAAATCTCTCAGTAAGACGTACTTCGCTGCCAACTTACTAGTAACATTTTCTCGCAAGAAACTATTCACCTAGCAGGTGAAAGACATACTGTCGTTTTGGGCCACTTCAACATGCATACACTAGTCCATTTGTTCGTGTGGAGCTAAGTACATTGGCCGTATCATGCGTCCGCTTGTAAAACGCGCACGGCAACACTGTCCAGCCTCAGTGACAAAGGGAGAATGCAAGTGTGCATATAGTTCGGTAACAGAATATCTAGTGGACTCAGGACATTGATCTCCATTTGAAAAGTCCTTCAAAGTCATATACAAAATCCGATCAAATATGTCAACAGGAGTGAAATCAAGCCATCTGGGGAAAGCTAAGACACTAACTATCCAAAAGTTCAAGCCCACGCTACATATCCAAAAGAAATACATCAAACAGTTGTGTAGACCATGGCGGTCCTGGAAAGTCACTTTTCTCAACAGTGATCATCTTATTACCCTTCTCATTTAATAATCCTGTTTATTTATGTTACTACTATAATTTCAACCCTTAAATGCTTAAAAGGGAAATTTTCTTCTTAATTATTATCCTGCCATGTTTGCATCCGATCCTCCTGTTTATTATTACATTTTAATCTGGATTTACAATTTCATTAATATGACCCTTGACCGGAAGCAGTTCTGGAACTTTACCACTCATTTATCATAAGTACACGAGTTTACAGTCTAGCTCATATCTTCATCAAAAAGAAAATTTTCTTCTTTTCAAACGTCTTTTTAATGTTCCCTATGATTTAATGTGTACATGTCTTGATTCCATATCAGATCACAGATTGATATCAGTTGGAGAACCATTGGAAAATCATGGAGTACTGGACGGCTGTTTCATTGTTGTTTGGTACTTGTCAGTGGTATGTATCCACGATCTTCCAGTTACGAGGTGAGGGCAATGACTGTCCAACCACTGGAACAAGTTAGTTCCAACAGATCTGCTTTGATGACAAATAGGGTGGCGGCGGCGCTTTAAGTCGTGAATTCACAGAAACTAGACGTCCATGGGTCGTCAGGCTCCGTCTTGGTAATTGGGTGATCAGTGGAGTCGCTTCCTAGCCTGAAGGTCCTAGTTTCGATCTCTGTGGGGTCAAGGCTATGTACTGCTCATGAGTCCTAAAGAAGAGTGAAGTAGCTATCCAATACTTCTTGGTTTCCAATGTTTTCCTAACTGATATCACTCCATAATCTAACACAAAAAGAATAAATACATGAAAAATAATACAGATTTACAGAATTTAGAAAATCACAATGCGGTGAATACATCTCTTGTCATTGAGGACTATTTTGATTAGTATGAACAACGTCCTCTAAATCTTGATTCTTATCATTGTGAACTGTCTTACCAGGCAGTCGACGCTTCTTTTGTTTATCTCAAATCAACAGTCAATTACTGCATGATTTGTTACCATGTTTCTGTATAACCAGTCTTAACTCTTTCCCAACCCTATCCTATGTCAGCTAACACCGCTTGTCGAGGTTGGCGATCAGTTGGAACTACCAAATTATTTAGCAGTAACAGTTAAAGCTAATAAAAGTCTTTCTGTTTTTTTTTCATATCATATATGTACGGTGTTTTCTTGAACTAAAATGAATATAAGAATGCAGAAACTTAAAATAAAAATGGTGTTAACATAAAGAATATTTCTTCTTTTAGTACAGGAATCAGTGTTTAATTATTATTATTAAAATAAGAGTGTTGGTTGTTGTTTGTTTCTTTTCTTAAAACTAAAAATAAAAATAAATCAATTCTCTGGTTCAATAATATGTCCAAGGTATACAGGTATTTCATTATTCCATAGAATTATTAAAAAGAATGGATGATCAACTTTCATTGTAATATCTGCTGGTTCAGTAAGTTTTTTACCACAGAATCGAGTGAGATTACATGATGATGTGCGCATTTCATTTATCTAGCGAAAAAAAGAAAAACAAAAAAAAACAGAAAAAAAGAAATAGAAAAAGTTTTATGTTACATTGACAAAGTCAAAGCCATTAATCTTTCCTGGACTACTTAAGAAAGATTTTGTTTTACTGCGTAGGGCACTAAAAGCTGTTAGTAGGGCAAGTGGGATTTCGTTAAACCAACTGGTTAACACTATTGTGGATAGACATACAGTGTCATGTAAGAAACTAGCGAATACTATATTGTCAGACCCCGAGCATCCTCTCTGTACGCAGCTCTCTCCTTGCATTTCATCTGGTAGAACTAGAAGCAACTATAGGAGGCTATATGCCAGGACTACCAAGTACCTTATCTGGCCCAGCTGTTATGTGATGAGAAATCCGTTACGGGTATGACACGATCAACTTACTGTGGCACTCTAACAAATAGTTCCTATTAGCTTTTGTTCTCCTTTCTTTGTTACTATTATATTGTTGTTCACATCTTCTATTACACACTAATTTTATATTTCATATCCTGTGTTGCATTGGTTAAAATGTGAATGCAATGCTGTTCTTTTTTATTTCTTTTTGTTATTGCTTTTTATTTTTAAAATCTTACAAAATTTATGAGGTAATTAGATGCAATATTGTAATGCACCCTGAAAATTCCATACCTGTACCACAAATACTGTTAGAAATAAAGCTATTATTATTATTAACGGGTGAGGATAAAAGTCATAGCAAGGTGTGTTTCCGCGTATAGTATCGTAAATGGTTCAACAGATTCCATTATGGATAAAGTCAAACAGTATTGTGCAGTAATATCTACTGATGACTACGTTTCGAGAACAATTTACTGCTGCTCATAATCATATCAAGGTACTCACACAACTTTCTTGGTTCATTTATATGCATGAGTAAAGTACGTGAGTAAAATCAATATAAGAAAAAGTACATTTGGAAATAATAATATTAGTTAGAATGTTATATTGTGAATTGAAAGACATTTTAACATTATTTATAATCCTCTGATTTGACTAGTAATAATATCTTCCATATCTCTGGTATTTGCGTTGAGTCACTTTTACTGCATGTGTTAGGTGTAGACTCAATGAACCAGGATTCAGTAATCAATCTCTCTCTCTCTCCATCTACCTATATTACTTCTTAGAAAAGTAACTTTCTCCCACTCTATTGTGTGGTTGTGTGCTAATGCATGCAGTGCAATTGCTGAGCTTTTTTCTAAATTACTTATCTTCACTGGTCCAGTAATTCTAACCTTAGATAAATTCTTATGTTCTGATAATCTCACTACTCCCCATCTACTAGTTTGACTTATGTGCTCAAAACGTCATTAGTAAATATTACTGTATAACAAACACTGTGTGACTTTATCAAAATAAAATTTTTATCCATAGTGGAACTTTACTCCACCACACAGCCTAAGTTTTTTCCTTATATGAACAATGCAATAGATATTTTAGCAGTTGAAAAATATTTATAAATACCTTCAAAACAGGCATGTGTAGCATGAAATGTTTGCAGTATCCCTCTTAAACCCTCAATGTAAATTCTCGCATAATTTTCAAGGTATCAGTTACAAAACCATTGGGAAACCAGGGAGTACTGGATAGCTGTTTTGTCCTTATTTGACAGTCTTCAGCACTGCGCAGCTGTGATTTAATGAGGATCAAACCCAAAATCTCCCGGTTACAAGACGAGCTCGATCCAATGACCCGTGATAACCATCGTCCAATTCGTGATCTATATATATATTAAAATCCGAGGACTTTTAAGTGATGAGGCCAAGCTTGTTGACCGACTAGCCTCTTGGCCTAGAATAGAATGACCCATGAATTTTAACACCTGTCAATTCGCCAATGTCGTTGGCGAGCATCTGTTCTCACATCTGACCTGGTGGACCTCAGTGGTCACAACTTCTCACTTGCACTGCAGATAACTTCGTCCTGTAGCCAATAGTGATGAAGAGTCGCAAACTAGGACGAAACAGTTCTCCATGGCTCTCAGTGTTTCTTTAACTGACATCAATCCATGGCCAAACTTGATACAAACTAATTCTTGAAAATATCACTTTTATGTTTCTTTTTTTGTTTTGTACAAAAATCAATCAAAGCGTTAATCGATAAAGACGTTTTCTTCTTCAACAACACCACCAACAACAACAGAACTTACTTCAAAACTAGCACAATGAAATATTTCAGAGATATAAACATTATCATTTGGTGAACTGGCCATATTAGATAAATTGGCGGACATAATATCAAATGCATCATTAATGTTCATGCGTTGTAATAACTTTTTAATACTAATTAAATTATTGAATTTTATGCATAGCTTAGGTATGTATAAATTCAATTTTAATGAATAGAATGGTGATTCTATTAATTTTACAAATCCATTTGTACGACGCAGTGTATTGATTAACTCTGGCAGACCATTCTCTTCATCTGGTAATAAAATCAATACTGTCCACCTGAAAAACAAGAATTATAGTTATGATGACTTAACAAACGAGTGAGTTTATCTATGCATTTTGACTGAAAAAGGTTTTCATAGTTCAAAAGCAAAGATAAAACAGTGTTACTATATATTTATTATTGACTAACAGTGAAATTTTTCGTGGCCAAGTGACCCAGTGGGAAAATCTTTAGCGTTTAAAACGATGGGGCGCTGAATTTAACTACCATTGAGAACAATATCACTTGCTCACTGGGTATAATGGGTCTTAAATAGGAGGAAATATGTGCCTTGAAGTCTTCTGCTAATCTATTCTGAGAGTTGACTTGTCTGTCAATAGAGATAGAACACTCTGGTTCAGTGAAATCAATCAGCGGAAATTTTAAAAATGGTGATTTCTTTAAATGAGAAGAAAATAATGCCTAGCAGATATTTTTATGGGCTATCCTTGAACAGAAAAACTTGAAACACGTCATAAATGATGTGTCTTTTTAAATAGATTTCCAAAAATCTAAATCGTACTCATTTTGCTCAGTTAGTGCAGAAGATTTCCAATGGGATTTCAGAGTGATGAAGGCATTCCAACTCCGGCCTTGACATCTTCATCCGTTCCACCGGTAGTTGAGGCGATGCTTCCTAGATAAGTGAAGGAAGTGATCCCTGTCAAATCTCTCCCATTGATGGTGGTTGGTGCTGGTTACTGTTGCTGTTGCGATTCGCTGGTTATCTTCATCAGCCCCATCTTCTCTACATTCACCTTCAGTCATGTCTTCGCTGCCTGCCTCTTCAGCCAGTTTGTTGGTTTTCGCATGCAACTCTTCAAGTTTGTGTGACATTAAACATAAATCATCCACATGCGAAATCCATACCTTCTAGAGTCTTCTTATCGGTGGTCCAACGCATTACTGTCTTCTCGGATTTTCAACACAAATTTTAAGTCAGTCAGTTCGTTTATATCGGTCAGAAACTTGCACCGCGCCCTACCAAAGGCATTTCCGACATGTTGCAGAATTTTATCAACAACTGCCTATTTCTCTTCGTATTGGAGATCAAGCAGCGACGAAAAACTATGGCAACAAACTAACCAAGAATCTGTCCTTCAACTAATATACTGGACACACGCTGAGAAGACCGTCGAATGACATTGCACTCCATGACACCTCCCAAGTGGAATTCGAATGGGAAACGATAAGTTGGCAGTTGGTCCGATGAAGAGATGAGAGAATAGGGGCAATTGTAGTGCCAACCAAAGAGGACCTTAGAGGATTGAAAGAAGTAGAGATGTGCTGTCGATGCCCTACTTCCACTCGCAACCCAGGAAGACAATAATAATGAGGGGACATCTGAGACCCTACGTAGGATTCTAAATAAAGCAGGAATTAGGGTGGCATTTAAACCTACAAACTCACTCAGGGACAAGCTCTGTAGGTTAAAGGACCCAGTGGACCCAATTAGACAAAATAATATAATTTACAAAATACCCTGCAATGATTGTGAGGTCAACTACATAGGTCAAACTAGTAGGTCAGGGGTAGTCAGATTGTCAGAACATAAGAATTTAGCTAAGGTAAGAATGGTTGACCCAGAGAAGATAAGTAATTTAGAAAAAAGCTCGGCAATTGCAATGCATGCATTAACACACAACCACACAATAGGGTGGGAGAGGGTTAAAATTCTAAAAAGTAATCTAGGTAGGTGGAAAGAGAGGTTGATTACTGAATCTTTGTTCATCGAATCTACACCCAACACATGCAATAGGAATGAATCATCACTCATACCTGAAATATGGAAAATAATACTACCAATCAAATCAAGTGAAAATCAAGTGAAAAACAATGGACTATATAAATGAATTTAGGAAGTCGTGTGATTAACTTGATATGATTATGAGCAATAAATTGTGCTCGAAACGTCATCAGTAAATATTGCTGTATAACACTGTGAGACTCTATAAAAATAAAATTTACCCATAATGGAATTAAACTCTACCACAGTGCCCAAGTTTTATTCTTATATCAATGAATGTGGGAATATTTACAAACTGGAACACTTTTAAGTATGTTAACGCTCAACAACAATCCTTTGAAGACTGACGGCACTAGATTCGAATTTGTTAAGACGATCAGGTATCACTCAACCACTACTTCTACAGTTTTTTAACTCTTGCTTCTTACCTAATTGTTCTTTATCGCTCCCCCTTAGTCGTTCTTGGGCTACTCAAAAAGAATTGTTTTATTGTGAATGGTATTAAATATTGTCAGTAGATCAAGTGGTTTGGCGCTTAGTCATCTGGTTATTACTGTAGTTGACAAACACCTCAGCTCATGCTAGAAAAAGTCCACTGTAGTACTCTCAACACCCTTTTTATGCACAACTGTCCCGCCTTGCTTCTCATCAAGTAGGAGTACTAGCAGTCGTTATAGAAGACTATATACTCGTACAAACAAGTATAGAAACTCAACGATATCATATTTGGCCTGCTTTGTAGGTGACAGAGAAAGTGTTAAGCATGAGAGGTATAACTTGCTGTGTAATTAGTAAAATAAATTACTCTTTGGTCTCCTCCAACTTGTAATTTGGAGTGACACCTTCTGCCATTATTTTATGGATTTAGTTGTCATTATTGTCTATTTATACATTTTGTACATTTTTAAATTCATTGTTACTCTGTTAATGCTAAAATGTTCCTCATCAATTTTGGTTACCTAAACCAGTATAAAGTTCTTTTCTGCTGAGTGAATCAGATGCAATATTCTTTCAAATGCTGAGAATTCCATGCTATATTATAAGTACTTTTCCTTCACGTTCCCAGTGGAACATATGGCTTCGAGCTAGAGGCTTGAAGTTTCTGTAGCAGTGGTGGTTATTTCTACAGGATGAGGTTGCTAGCCTCACGCCCAACCTTTCCTGTTTACCAGCTTTTTATTACTGGCTTAGCGAGGTGAAGAAGTGTGTCGGCTGGGGATCGAACCCCTGACCATGTGAATGGTCGGCGAGCCTCTTAACCGGTGTGCCACCGATGCATATATCATAAGTACTGCTTTGCAATAAAGTAAATAATAATAATCATTACCATTCTGTTATTCGTTAGCTAGACGCAACACGACCAATCTTTTCTAGAACTAGATTGTGTATTGGAGTTGGTTTTTACTTTCCGAGTACGTGTGTTTACTTCAGTCATATATGTAGAGAAAATATTCACCTAAACTGCCGGAATTCATATTTAATATTTATGTACTTTCATAAAACTCAAATTTTAGACTTAACTGAAGGTATTTTGTCTACTTACAGTCCAACTCTGTACTACTCAATGATGACATGCATCCCAATAACTAGTAATCGAGATTTTACTTTGCACGTGGTAGCTTGAGGTGGAATACGCACTAGGAGACAACATATCAACAGAGACTAAGCATTTTAGTCCAACATGATCAGCTGATACGAAATTCAGAACAACTTGATAAAATCAAACCTGATATGCGTTACACGCCTAAAATTGACCAGAGCTTCTGTTTAAATAACCATGAAAATTCTTACTGGTTCGATCACAAGTTGATATCAGTTGGAGGACTATTGGAAGACTTTGGACTATTCTCCTATGGCACTGACTAGCGGTTGCACTGTATCTACTGCGAAGCGGCAGAAGTTGGAATCCACTGGCCGCTGGATCATGTCCCAGTACTTAAATGGTCTAGGAACTTGTCATGTAACTGGAATATTCTGGGTTCGAACTCTAGTGGGTGGGCATTGATGAGGAGTCACAGACTGTGACGAAACAGCTGTCCAGTACTCCCTAGTGATTTCCAGTAGTTCTGTTAATGATATCAGATCGTGATCGAACCTGTAATAAATCAAATGCCTGGAAACCAACACCTGAAGATTCTTATTAACCAGTCAAAGCAGTGAAGTCTTCAGAAAGTAAAAGAGTGTGTTTTATACACCCATTTTTTTCAAAATATTACATCTGTTTTTGCAACACTGTGGTGTTTATATTTTTTCCCACTTTTACCTATGACACCTATTGGTTGTGAACTGTTTTAGCTTACCCAATGAAGACCATTTGGAAGATTTTTGACTGTTGATCCAAGGTAGTAAGAGCTCTCTAATCATGATCTGTCTTCTTTCTTTCGTCTTTGCGTCACATGTCAGTGGTTTCGTATGGTGGTAATTGTCGTTGTAAGTAATGATTAGAACAGTAGGCTCAAAAGTCTACTAATTCGGAAGTTCGTTAGCACACGAAGCTCGTAAACTAACAGGTTATATTGGCGGTTATATCTCAGTGTTAAAATGGAGCACTGACAGAAAATCCTCACTTCACCACAATAATCTGGAATGGCCACACACCTTACACAGGCAGTCCACTACACAAGAAATAGCTTCATTGGTTCCCTGACCTAGTGGCTACCGCTGATCGGGGATGCATTTACATCCAGCTGATGGGCATCAAATAGGACAAAATGTCTATCGTGGATCTCAACTGTTAGTCATCATCAGCCAAATAAACTCATTTTAATCTTTAGACCCATCGTCAAAGCCTTAGAACTAGAAGCTGATATGTGAACAGATGACGAACATTATCAATCTAATTCATCAGTGGATACACTGAAAAAAACCTCAAAGTATCACCGAACACTTAGCAACATGGTTTTACAAAGTAGAAAATCGATGCCCCCGCAGTTCCATCTTAGAACATCTGATAGAATCCCGACACCAAGCTACACCCCAAACAGACTTCAAAGTCGTCTACAGAGTAAGAAGTAGTCTTCCTAAAGGTGTACGAATCAGACTTCTTCAAACTGCCGAAGCAATGGCGATTCACTTGCTAAGTCCTGAACTCTGCATACAGAAGAAGTTCGTTCACTCAGTACACTTGCAATGGACGTAATCTATCTTATTAGCCAACATGTAAATTCTACCTAATCTTTTCTTCGGTCTCTTCATTAGCATTATTTTGTCTTCTCAATTGTAATTTTTTACATTTTCAACTTTCTTGTTCTCTACCCCCACCCGATTTGATTTCTACAACTCATTACCACTGTAACTGACTTGAACAACGCTCAATTTCTAGTCATTTATATTACGTCATCTAGCTTACTAACTCAATCTTACTTTAGTTGCTGTCTGATTAACCTTGTTTCTATATTAGATCATTCTTGCATTACTTGATCAATTATCTAAACTTGACAAACCTCATGTACACACAAACACACAAATAATTATATACAAATGCAATTGTACAGCTATGTGAATGAATTAATGAAGAGACATGGTGGCATTCACACCTGCTCTATTATCAATTGATTCATTTTTTATTATAAAAATTTAACTGTTTTGGCTTTGTTTTAAAAAATGCACTTACTGTGAATCTAATAATGGTATTTTTACACCACATGATTTAAGTTCAGGAAATGTAGCTGATTCAAATTCATCAATTGTATGCAAAAATGTGATATTTTTACTGGAACCATCAAGTCTTTGAAAAGTGCATGCTCGTTTTTTATCTTCTTCAAAAACATGCTTCCATAATCCTAATAAAGTAGTATAACAAGGAAATAAACAAATAAATAAACATACGTTTGAGTAGCTTGAAAATCCCTATAGAGTCATATAAAAAAGGGAAGACGTTCAGCGAAGAGACTCTTTTCGCCGGCGAATTCATTCACAAAGCTGTACAATCGCATCTATATATAATTATTTGTGTGTGTGTACATGAGGTTTGTCAAGTTTAGATAATTGATCAGGAAATACAAGAATGATCTAATATAGAAACAACGTTAATTAGACAGCAACTAAAGTAAAATTGAGTTCGTAAGTTAGATGACTTAATATAATGGACTAAAATGTTTCAACTTAGGTCAGGATAGCAACAGAGGTAATTACAGGCAGAGACTAAATAGAAGTAAAATTGAGCAAATAAGTTGGACGACGTAACATAAATGACTAGAAATTGAGCGTTGTTCAAGTCAGTAACAGTGGTAGTCAGGTGTAGAAATTAAATCGGGTGGGGGTAGAGAACAGGAAGGTTGAAAATGTAAAACATTACAATTGAGAAGACAAAATAATACTAGTGAAGAGACAGAAAAAAAGATTGGGTAGAATCTAATTGTCGGTTAATAAGATAGATTACGTCTATTGCAAGTGTACTGAGTGAACGAACTTCTTCTGTATGCAGTTTGAAGAAGTCTGATTCGTACACCTTTAGGAAGACTACTTCTTACTCTGTAGACGACTTTGAAGTTTGTTTGGGGTGTAGCTTGGTGTCGGGATTCTATCAGATGTTCTAAGATGGAACCCACCACCCGATTTAATTTCTACACCTCACTACCACTGTTACTGACTTGAACAACGCTCAATTTCTAGTCATTTATGTTACGTCGTCCAACTTATTTGCTCAGTTTCAGTTCGAATTTAAATGGCATTATTCTCTACCCCACTTCTACTACCTGCCTACATGTAATTACCTCTGTTGCTATCCTGACCTAAGTTGAAACATTTTAGTCCATTATATTAAGTCATCTAACTTACGAACTCAATTTTACTTTAGTTGCTGTCTAATTAACGTTGTTTCTATATTAGATCATTCTTGTATTTCCTGATCAATTATCTAAACTTGACAAACCTCATGTACACACACACAAATAATTATATATAGATGCGATTGTACAGCTATGTGAATGAATTCGCCGGCGAAAAGAGTCTCTTCGCTGAACGTCTTCTCTTTTTCAAATAAATATATGAAACTAATTTTTTCTGAATGTTTCCACATTAATGAACTTCTGTTTCTGCCATATGTGTTTCCGATGACTAATGTAATAAAGAATATCTTAAGGTGTGTAGTTATACACAGGATTCAGTGCAGCTTGGTAAAAACAAATCTTAAAGGACCAGTACAGATGTGAAGATGGGAAACAAGATGGGAAACTGGCCTAGACTTGGGGTCAACTTCAATGCAATAAACAAAAATCCGATTCGTTTGAACAGAGAAAAAAACGAAAAAATATTTTGCAGGATAATATAAGCTCGTTATATATTCCTTGAGAAGAAACCAGTTTTCATCTGTCCAGCATACATAGAAAACTTGTCCGTCCTAACAGATTCTTATCTTAGCTTGAGTCATCAACCGTTAAATTAAAAAAAGTCTGTCAACTCAGTGTTATCACAGGTAGTCTAATATGCCTAACATTCAGAGTCTATTCTTGAGGAGGTTAATTCAGTGTTTCGGTAAAGTGCGACAACTTGAACTAATCACCTTTTGTACAACATTCCACGTGGATAAGTCAGTCAGTCAGTCAGAACTAGTCGTATTGAATGAACATTGGGGCTTTTTCCTACTTTGAAATATTCCAATGCAAAACAATTTACAGTAGCTAATAATAATATAATAGCAATAGGAATCCACCTAAAGAAGCCAGGCCTGTGTGTTCAGAAGAAATTCTTACAGCCACTTTCCACACCTTGGCCATCGTTACATCAATGTATAAGCCGGACCAATTCGCCTCCCACCCCATAAACCTTTAAAAATTACAAAACTTATAAATGTCCAAATTATTTTATTATTTTTTCTGACTGCTTCATCTTTAATGACGTGCTGGCTTTGTAAAATAATTTTATTCTTATGGTCACTTCAGCCTTAGTTACAAGTTATCATTGTCCAAATTGTTTTATTTTCCCTAACAATCTGTTACGTAATGAACCTGTGCACACGCTTTTTCATTAATTAGTCTTCATTTCACCGAAAACACCCATTTAGTCATGAAAAGTATATAAGACAAATTCAGTCAAGAAAATTTTCTTTATCGACAAAATCATCTTCAGAGTCTGTACAGTCGTATTTATATTTACCAAAAATGTACAGTAATCTATTATTGAGTAATGGGGGGTGACATAACTGACACAATTACTCAGAGAGAAAGTTTGTCCCGTCTCTTATTCTACCTTGGTCTTAACCTCCCCACTCGTCGATTTTAAATTTTAAATTCTACTTTTAGTTTGCTTTTTTCTTTAACAATTAATTCACTATTATCATTCTCTCAGATGTTCCTTTTGTACATTTTCACACCCTCTTCATACTTGTTAAATTGACACTCAACTACCTTTATTCTCACACAGAAGCAATTTTAACCTTATCAAATTTCTAACCATTTCGTCCGTTGTGCTGTTGAATACTACGTAATTTACAACTTTTATTTTTTACTTCTAAAGCCACTTCTGAGTAATTGTATCAATTGTATCACCCCCTATTACTCAATAATAGACTACTGTATATTTTTGGTAAATATAAATACGACTGTACAGCCTCTGTAGATGATTTCGTCGATAAAGAAAATTTTCTTCGCTGAATATGTCTATTTTACTCTTCATTTTTTCAAAATTATGCATTACGCAATCCATGTGTTGCAACCATTTCTACCTTTTAATTGTGTATATTGATTTTCTTCGTTTATTATCACCCCATTGACATTTTGATATACTGACTAATTATTGTTAACAAACAAATCTGTGCCACTTGATTGGTAAAGTGTTGTGTATTGTAATAAAAGTGCTGTATATATTTTAGACTAGAGCCAGAGATGAGGATCTAATTGAAAAGTAAATATTTCTTCCCTCAATCCTTCTGCTTTCTAAATGTCTAAATGGGGAGGTTTTCTATATTGAAATAATATAATAGTAGTTAAATGACTCGCCTAGTGGGATCCTGATGAGAAACGGTGTACTGGTGAGGGTGACATGGAAGAGATCATACGAGATGGAGATGAGATCTGATGGGCAACCTTGCAGCCAGCCAAAAAGGACTTGACAGAACAGGACAAAATGGAGACGCTCTGTTTAAGCCCTATGTTCCATTCAAAAACCAAGGGCACAATAATAACAATAATTATATTAAAGTGACTAACCTTTGAAATAAGCTGTCGAAGTAATTACAGTAGAAATATTATCAGGGAAACTGGATATCGATAATCTGTGATATTTCATATTCATTATTTGTTTTATCCATTCATTAACACGAATTATTGAACCTTTTCTGTCACCTTTAAATGGAACCTAAGGTATTATTATTATTAAATATTATTATATTCAATTTACTTTCTCAATCTCTGCTTTATATGTATCTAACAGTAATCTGTTAAAGTTTTCATCAATTTCAATCGATTTTGGTATAAAAATACGATTTTTGATAGTTGATTGAATGCCTTCACCTGTATTAGAAATATTGTGTAATGTCTCGCGAACTATTTCATGATAATCAAAGTCTTTGTTTAATTCCATTGCTTTGAATAATTCTGTAGCTGTTTTATCATTACTTGCTGAAAGTACAATGCATAACGCTGTACATATACCGATTGGTGATATAATTAGATTACTCAATTCATCTAATTAGTAGTAATAGAAGTAGTAGGTATAATGAGGTTAACTTACCACACTTAAATGCTAATAAATAATCATATAATTTATTTGAAAATCCAGGTATTATTTCTTCAATGAATTTGTCATCCATTTTCAGGAATTTGCAAGTGATGTTATTCTATTGAAACAATATTTTGAAACCAAAACAAGTATATGGTCTCCAGTTCACAGTTGAAAATAATAGCGGAAATTAATTTATATATACCTGTAAATATCTGAAAATATACATTAATGTATGCATTATTTTTAGGAGAGGCAGAAAGACAATAATAATAGTTTGTTTTATTCCAAAACAGTACTTGTGATACAGAATGGAATTCTCAGCACTTTTACTACAGTATTGCATCCAGTTAGTACATTATCAATACATAGAATTCTACATAGATTAAGGAAATCTCAGTTCATTATGACAACAACACATTGGCGTGTCGGAAGCAAAGCCAAAGCTGAACAGTGTTTGAAGGTGTTAGAAAAGTAGGTGCTGTCATATTTACTGGCATAAGCGGAAGAAAGAAACAAAGCAGCATATAACGGAAAAAAGAGAGAGAGAGAAAAGGAAAAGAAAGAAAGAAAATATTGTACCTATAATGAAATGAGTTGGAAAGACGGGGTCCAGTTTTTCTACTGACTATTTAATAAATTATACGTGTCACGCCTAATGATTTCTTTATCGCACAGAACATGAACCAAGTAGGGTATGGTTGAGTTTTTGTACTTGCGCTAGTGCGAGCATATAGTTTTCTATATAAGCTTCTGGTTTTACCTGATGAGATGCAAGGGAAGAGCTGTGAATGAAGAGGGTGGTGTGGGTTAGATAAAATGGATTTGGCCCATTTTTCACATGAGTCCATGTGCCTGTCAACCAGAATATTAACAAGCTGGTTAAGTGGCACATTGCTTACCCTGCTGACAACCTTTAACATCCTGCGTAATATGTTATAGTCTTTCTTCAGTAGCCCGGGAAAAGCTAAGGGGGAACATTAGAGAATAGTAGGCAGGATGCGAGAGTTAACGAATTATAGGAGTAAGGGTTGGGTTAAACCAGAATGTCTTAACTTCTTGATGTAGAAGGTAAGACGGAATATTTTCTTAGTAATCATCAGGATATGAGACGAACAGGAAAGATCAGCAGATAGAATGACGCCTAGGTATTTAATTTCCGACTTGGTTTCTATTTCAGTGCCATCTATGTTGCATACCTCGTGAGAGCCAACCAGTTTGTTTAGGTCGGATTTATGCCTAAAGGTGAAATTGACTGTTTGACATTTAGAGGGGTTTAAGGTAAAACCGTTTTCCTTGGAGCACTGGCTGATTTCTGACAGAAAGCCATTTGGTTTAGAGAAGTCACTTTGACATTTGACAGGGAAAGATACAGTCAGGTCGTCAGCATATTTGAAGATGGTAAGTCATGTAGAAAGAAAGAAAAGGGAAGTGGGGAGAGTACAGCACCTTGGGGGACACCGGTTTCAGTGAGTACAGCAAAGGAGGATTTACCTTTGTATACGGTGTACTGCATTCTGTTAGAGAAGTAGGAATGCAGCCAGTTAGTGACCCAGGACTCAGTTTTTGTCCTAGAGAGCTTATTTAGCAAGAGACATCTAGGTACAGAGTCGAAAGCAGAAGTGAAGCCGAGAAACGTGCAGCGGACGTATTTGGCACCTTTATCTAATGATGAGACGGTACTGTTGTGTAAGATGGGTGCAGCGTCTAAAGTTCTCCTACCCTGTCTGTAGGCAAATTGTTTGGGGTCTTCGAAGCTTTTAAGGGAGGGTTCAAGTTTAAGAAGTACTGGTTTTTCCATAAGCTTTAGAAACGGGGAAGTGATGGCAGTAGGTCTGAACATTACATTCTTGCTGTTTCCAGGTCTAGGGACAGGGACTATTTTAATGTGGTTCCATGCAACAGGTACGACATTTTTGGAGAAAGAATCATTTAGGATGTTAGTTAGTGGAGAACATAAAGCATCTGCACATTGATTTAGAACATATGCAGGTATACCATCAGGGCCAAGGCTAAGTGAGTGCTTGAGCGTTTTAAGACATTTTAGAACATCGAGAGCATTAAAGTCATGAAAGTTATCAGCTACATGATTTGTAACATTTGAAGTGGTTACAATAGAAGGATAGCGTATAAAAGACTGATTTAGAGCATTAACATCACAAGAGGGAAAAGCATTACAACGCTTGCTATTGCCAGTAATTTCATTAAAAAGTTTCCACATGCTGATAGGAGATTCGCATGATAAAAGTGTATCATTGTAGATAGAGATTTGTTGTCGTTTCTTTTCAGATGGACGTCGAGGAAGTGGAAAATTTCATCGGATTCAGTCTCAAGTGTAAAGTCAATGTTTGGGTGGGCGTTGTTGAAGATATGAAGTAAGTTTTCGAGGTCCAGGTTCTCATCACAAATGATGAAAGTATCATCAATGTATCTCTTGTAGAGATGAAGGTCGTCGATAGTTGATGATAAGGGGTGATGATGAGATGATGAAGATACACAACAACCGACAACAAAAAACAAGCATCAGTCACCGTCAGTGGAAGCAGTCTAAAGGAAATCATCTGTTTCACATATCTAGACAGCATCATTTCAACTATAGGCAGCAAAGATGAAGATGTCAAGGCAAACCAGGATCGGAAAAGCAAGACACGCCTTCATTAATCTGAAATCAGTGTTGTGAATTACTGCACTTAGCATAATGAATAAGACCTAGGTCTTTAACACTGATGTCAAGTTGGCTGGTGTGCTTAAGAGACTTAACATGTCACCGAATTGATTACTGACTTCTGCCAATTCATGAAATAGCGCGATATTTTCGCGATGTTTTCTTCGATGAGATGCTACCTCACCTTCAACCTGCCGCACACCACTGAAACCTCAGGTCACGTTTCTCTTTCAGGAATTATAGTTGTGCACATGAATCTCGTTATTAATGGTAGATGTTAGAATTCTAAACTTAACAGCTACTTAACTTAATTTTGCTATCACTATTCGTGGGCAATAACACTGCTTACTTTAAATGTGTCAAGACAATCTTTTCATTGTGTAAATAGTTTGAGAAAATACACAAAAGTATGAAGACATATGGAGTCAGGATTATAGTACTTAAGTTTATTATCTCTTTACCCTAAATAGTGTAGTTTCTAAGTTGCTTGAAGTGTTTAAGATGAAAAATATAAAATATGCAATCATTGCCAACTATATCTGATGCACAAATGTGTCACTTACAGTACTGACAGTTTTGGTTATAGGGATTCTGTTCATTGCACTGTCATTAACTGATGATTTCACTGATCTATGCAGAAATGCACACAGTGGAGTATTAGTTTAAGCTGCAGCACAAAGAATCCAAAACCAAGTAGTAAAAGAAAGGTATTGTAGGAAGGAAGTGTTTAAGACGGAATAAAAAATTTCAGAATTTGGCATATGGTTGGGTGTTGACACATCCACATCACTGTAAGTGATTTTCAGTCCCCTCATTAACAGCCGCTAAACACTGAGTCTCAAAATTCTTATCTTTACTTCCTTAGTAGAAACTAATTAGTCCTCACTGAAGGAAAATCATAAGTTTTCAAGAAGTTCTTATTCAACAAGTTAGACAACTAAAATGGCATCCATTCTGTGCAAATTTAAGCATCATTAGTCGATTAACTTATCAAAACTACGAAGGAAATAACATCAGTCCCTCTGGATAAACAGGCAAGGTAAAACACATCTTTGAAGACGACATTGTTACTCAACCCCTCTACTTAATTCTCCGACTTAAACACTGAACAGTTAACATTCTATGACCTTAAATAACTCTCCAAAATTATTATTCCACAGCATTCTTCACCGAACATCGGATGCTGATCATCACTGTTTAAATCTACCTGTTAGGCTGAAGGTTTGCAGTCAAGGAGCCACACCAGTGAGCACAATGTCGTGTTACATTCGGTCTTTGGTGCGCGATATTTAGCTAGCTAAGCAATCATCAGGGCATTACGATTATGATCCTGTAATATGTTTTGTATATTTGACCATCAAATTATTGTTCTGAATTGCCTTTTTGTCTGAGCAGAACAAGTGCTATGGGAGTTGGAGGATAAGTACTTTCGATTGTATATAGCGTATAAAAAGCAATCCGTAGTTTAAAGAAATGTTATTCTAATATGAAAGAATGTTTCTGATTCTATGGTAAAAGGGCACTGTAGGTAAGTCTAAATGACGGTAATTTCCCTAACGAGTAGCCTTCCAAGCTGTTTCATCAAATTATTCACACTGTGTAAACACCTACTGACCTTTTTCAAACCGGTTTTCCTCACCCATTAGCATTAATTCCATACCTCCACAATTATTTCAGAATAAAAAGATTTTTTATCAGCACAAGAAATCAGACTCATTTTCAGTGCATTAGTCGCCATTGGTTGAACGTTAATTTTAACATGAGTAATCACATTGTGAAACGGTTTTCTTTACTAGGTGTCACAAAAAAGGTAGTGAACTGAAAAAATGAGTAAGTATCTCATGACTGAAATATTAAATTGAAATCCTAAGATATAATTTTTGATATAATCACAACGACAATCAAAAGGTCACTCACATCGAAATCTAATAATGAAGTTCATAAATTGCGGGCTTTCGCTTTAAATACTTCCGAATCAATAGTTACAGATCTATTGTCTTCTTGGTATTTTTTCCTGAAATTCAGCAGCGGTTCTAGTTTTTATATGCATTTCGATGAGCAAAAGGCATCCCTTCTTGACTTCTGTAGCTCTGAGAACTCAGAAATTTGGTGTTAGCTTGGTGTTGATGTTAACTTGAAAGGAATGTGTTGTTAATACTCCAGTATCCAATATCCTGATTACGAGCTAGTATAAACCAGTGATTTCTTTGAGCTCGCTCCTTGATTGTAAGGTAGAGGTTCCAGATCTTCGGTGAACTTATGCGTAGTAAATCCCGCCACTCGACTGCTTTAGCTCTGGTAGACTCCAAGAGGAGTGGTGCGAGGATTGGTCAAGATTGTGGTTTGTAGTGTGCAGTATGTTAGGACTCAGCTGCTGTCGTGAATGGAGTTTTACCTAACACCCGTTGGTCATTCGGTGTAGTCATAAAAGTAGAATAATAATAATAGGTTGTAGTGTAGATAATATAGGTTGAGATAAGTGAAATAATAAAGAAAGAAAGAAAGGATAGAGTAGTCGGTGCAGTGGGAGAAGACAGGACGGGTCGTGGGGATTTAGCTTGTATGCTTATCTATTGACAATGTGGTTTCAAATTCTAAGAGGATAAGCCATTGAGACACAAACCATGCATTTCTGCATGATTGTCCAGCTTCCGCTTAAAAGTCTCCACAGATGGCGCTGTAGTTACGGCCGCCGGTAAAGCGTTCCAGAGACGGCAAACTCGAAGCGAGAAGAAATGTGGACGCACTTGAGTCTTTGGTCTCTGGTGTGCTATCCTTAGCGGGTTACCTCGTGGAAGCCTATAATCACTTAATGGCAGGATGCTCTTATTAGGGTGGGCCTGGTCATTTAAGATCTTATAGATGGTGATGAGGTCCCCCCTGTGACTGCGGTAACTAAGTGTGAAAAGACTTAATTTCTTCAGTCTTTCCTCATATGATTTGTTGCGGAGGCCGATCACCCAATTGTCGCTCGTCTCTGGACGCTTTCTAGAGTGTTAGCATCCCTTTTGAGTAGCGGAGGGGCAATGATATTATGCACCTCAAGGAGTGGCCTCACGTATGTCATATACAACGTTAAGGATAGTTCAGGAGTAAGAGCTCCCAGCTGCCTATGCATAAAGCGTAAAGTAGCGTAAGCTTTGGCGACGTCCCTCGTGTAATTTACACTGGTGTCTAGCTTTTCTGTTAAAATAAGGCCTAGGTCGCGTTCTGACGGCACACAACTCAAGTTCTGGCCACCAAGGGTGTAATTTACACTCTGTGATCTGCCGGAATGAAGTTGCACTACTTTGCACTTCTTTAAGTTGAAAGGCATTCCGTTAGCCAGAGCCCAGTCTCCCAGAGTTCGCAGGTCAGCTTGCAATCTGTCGGAGTCTTCCTATGAGTTTATTGCTCTCCAAATCTTTCCGTCGTCAGCGTAAAGAAGCGCAGAGCAGTTCAGTTGACAGGGCAGGTCGTTGATAAAAGTCAAGAACATCAACGGCCCTTAGATAGAACCCTGAGGAATCCCTGATGCCGAGGTGTGCCAGGATGATCGGATGCGGTTGACTTTGGTGCAGAATTCTCTCTCGTCTAAGTAATCTTTCAGCCATGCGAGAAGTGCTCCAGAAACACCCACCTTGCTTATTTTGTGAAGGAGCAGACCATGGTGAACTGTGTCGAATGCTTTCGCAAAGTCGATAAAGATCACATGGACTGGTACCTTTACGTCCCAGGATAGTGTCCAATCGTTCCAAGCTAGTAGAAGATACGTCACACAGGATCTTCCCCTCCTGAAACCGTGCTGTGCTTCATGGAGTAGGTTAGTCCCGTCGAAGTATTTTCTCATGTGGTCGTCAATGAGACTTTCCAATATCTTCGATATCACTGGGAGTAGCGCAACTGGTCTGTAACTGGTCGCGTTCTGCCGGTCACCACCCTTGAAGATAGGGGATAGGATGGCTCGTTTCCATTCACATAAGAGTTTCCCTACATCAAAGGAGTGTTGAAACAGATCACTTAGGGGTTGGCAGAGACTTTCTGAACACTGCTTCAGGACGGATGGTCTTATGGCATCGCAACCTGAAGACTTTCCCGAAGCCAACTTTCCCAATTTTACGAGTACCATAGCCGGGGTAATTAGAAATGTACCCAGCAGGTTTTCGCACGTTGGTCTTACACTGTAATCTTGATGTTTTGTGAGGGGTAAAATCCTCGTTACTGTTTAGTCGCCTGTGAAAAGCTAGACTGAATGTCTCTGCCATTTCAAGACTAGTAAGAGATTTCCCATCAGAACCCACTAGATTGCAAGCTCCTTGGTTGGGCAGTTTTCTTTCAGACATAAACCTGTATAGGCTTTTGGGGTTCACGAGAAGCGTATTTGGCGAGGTTTCTCTGAAATGTCCTATCACTCCGGACTCGTATGTTACACTGATTCCTGAGTTCGAGGTACTCTTCATGTTCGGGTTGACTCTGCGATACTCGCCACGCGAACCAGGCTTTTCGCTTCGCCTGTAGAAGGCGTTGTGTCCCCCTTTTTAGCCATGAACGTTGCTTTCTAGCTTTTGGTGTGACTAAAGGAACGGTGTCTGAGACCGCCTGGTGAATGATCTCCTTTACCACTCCCCAGTGTTCTTCTACTGTAAGCTCTGTCCAATTTTTTGGCCAATTTGCTTCAGACAAAAGTCTTCGCATTTCGGTGTAATTGGCTTTGTTATAACACAGATAGGGCTGTGTGTTGTCCCACTGTAAACGCTCGCGGAGGACTATGTCGAATGTTATGACCGCGTGGTCACTACTACCTATGGGAGTCGTGATCTGAACGTTTTCCACTAGTAGCTGGGCACTAGTGAGCTCATAATCCAGTCTAGAAGACTTCCCATCTGGGCCCCATCTAGTATCCATTCTGACATTTTCGGTGAATCCGGCCTCCCTGATGGTATGCAGCAGATTTCGATCAAATCTATCATGGGCATATCCCGTCATCAAGTTAAGAGATGGGGCATTGAAGTCTCCAGCTATGACAATTTGATCATAACCCATGTCTTGTGTCGCTGAAATTGCATTCAGCAGTACCTGGTTGTGGTCTGCTCCACATGAAGGTGATCTATAAATGCTGCCCACTAGATATTTACAGTACCCAACGGTGAAATGGCACGGTATGGAGTCAGGGAGCTCAATGAGGGGAGGGTCGATTGCATGGACACATCTGAGCTGTTTGTCGACGTATATGGCAACTCCACCTCCTTCTTTCAGATCCCTATCGCGTCTGACTAGGACCATATCATTGATACTGACTTCGCTGTCTGCCACCGTAGGGGTTAGCCAGGTTTCTGTCAGTATTATGATTTTGGAGTTCAGCTGTGATTGTAGGTATCTAAGTTCAGCTATTTTGCCTCTTAGACTCCTCACATTACTGTACAGGCAACTGGTAGTCAGCCTCACCACGTCCCCGTATTGCGGGGTGGTTGACGTGATGTGGGCTGTCGGTTGAGGAGTTATCCTACGAACTAGTTGGCCGATTCCCCGGGAACAGGCCTGTTGGTTTTTTCCTTGTGATTCAATTGGAGCACTTGGATGACACTGGCTATCATCGTCCGTGCTGCACCGCTGTATTGTGACCAGGGGTTGGGGACGTTCTATGACAATGTTTTGTTCTCTCTTTGGGTACGAGGCCGGCTGTCGCAGCAGCGAATGTGTCTGATGACCTTGTCCTTGGTCTCGTACCATCTCTGGAGAGCAGTAGTCAAGTGGTCTCGGGAGCTGAACTTAAGAGCTAACAGACATGGCGCGTTAATTGACATAAGGTGAGTGGGTCGAGGCAGTCTATAAATAGAGACAGCCCTGAACTTCCCAGACCCATCTGGGATGCCAACCATCTCCATTGCTGTACATCGTGACAGTGCTTCTCACAAGCATTCCCAGTTACCAGTTCGGGAATGCCGTGAACAACCACGGAGGAAGAAGAAATAAGCTCTGGCGACTCCCTCGCCATCTGTCTTTCCTTCCATAGGCCTATCTGGCCTAATACGTATATTGCAGGTCCTCCCTATAGAAAGGACTTGGGAAGTCAATAAAACTTTTTCGGCATCCTCGGTAGAGCCCAGTGTTACCCTCAGTGGGGATGGTTTGCCTTGAGGAGCAGCAGTGCCCCTAAACAATCTGCATAGTTTTACTGGTTGGATGTCCAGACCCAGTGTGCTACATAAGTTGGACCACTGTTCCTGATCAAACAGGGCCCTGTTTTCCAGCAGACTACTGCTACAGTCTGGTACATTAAAGAGGATAACGCAGTTTGATCGACTAACCGTGGATTTAGGTTCGGTCCTCGCACATTTGTCATCCCCCTTAAGACTGTTTTGTTTCGTCTGGTGCAACTGGGTATTATTGTGTGTCGCAGTGCTGTGGCCACTTTTATTGGTGGACGATAAATGTCTTTTCCCAGCGACAGATACCCTTGGTGCTTCAACTTCTGTGTCTGGGGCAGTTATGGCAGGAATTGCAAGTATAACCGGTGTGGATTTTGGTATCCTCGATTTACGTGCAATTGTGCTGTTTTCTGAGTTGGTGGGAGTAAAACGTTTCACATTTTTTCCCTGATACCTCTATGCCATCTTTAGCTTTCGAGGGACTACACGAGGCTGCATCAGGACGGCAACTCGGGCATGTGTACCAGGACCATGGGCATGGGTTCTTACGCATAAAATCGTAATATACTTTTGGTACCCCGTGTCACATCTACAATGTACCCATTGCTTGCAAAAGTTGCATTCGAAAGCAGAGTCTACTTGTTCGACAACAGAATTGCAGACCTTGCAACCGTCTGCCTTCTTGGGGAACGTTTTCGTCGTCTTGCGACGTCGTGAATGTTTCTTATTGGCCTTCCTGTTTGTTTCAAGGCCTACTGTGGATAAGGGTGTTATACTATTCTCACTTTGTGCAGATTTACCACTCGGCTCTATTAACCTGGTC